GAGAACGGGAATGAACAACCGCCTTCATCTGAGAGCAGACATTTCTATGGATACTTGAGGGAATTAGTCTGTGAGTCACATTTCAAATTATGTCAGTAATAACTATTTGGGCTCTATTTTTGTGTGGTACAACCAGACAGTTTAATATTTTCTTGATCATGAAATTAGCTTTGTCTGTGTGTTCATGGAATTTTAATGGTAGTAGAGTTTTATTCAAATTATAAAGTGCAAATTGAGTTGTTTGTATTTTGGTGGAAAAAGTCTTTAGATGCCTGTTTCTGGCACAATGAAGGAAACAAACTTGAATCAACATTTAGTGTGGTTAAAGCAGGAGCACTGATAAAACAGTCTGCATTGATCTAGTATGTCAGGGTTCATACGCATTTTGATAAATGGATTCATATTAATTTAAACCAATTTAATGACTAAACATCACGTATAATGAAATTTTACTATTTTACTATGATTACATTTATATACAGTAGGACTGGCTGATTGTTAATCAGTTAATCAGTATCTTTTATTCATTACTAGTGGAAGTATATTGTGATGAGATCATATGTTAGAAACTTCTGCTGCTCAAATGAATGAATCAAAGAAATTTGTAATAAAATAAAAATAATAAAAAACATTAATTAATTAATATTCTGGGTTTATCATGACCAGATGAACAACTGATTATTTTGTCCAGATAAAGTATATATTGTGCAGATATGTTGACAAATCTGTCGCTCAGTTAAATCAAGTGCAAAAGAAACCATGTTGATGCCAAACTAGCAACATGTAAGCTGTTATTTGCAATATGACATAATTTCCTCTGAAGTTGATTTTGATGCATTTAACTAATCAAAAGAAACACCCCACTTTTGACTCTCAAATGAGCATGAAAGAGGATGAGACTGTTCATCTGCATCACCATTTGTGACGTGTGTAGGAAGTGCCTGCAAAAACGGTTTTAACTCAGTGCTCTTCATGTGGGAGACAGATTTGCAGCGCTCGACAACGCTGTGTGTGCAAAATGGCTTTCTTTTTAAGTCTTTAGCAACGACGCCGTTTCATGTTTTTAAAACTGGAAACGCACCACAGTGCAAATGTTGCTGTGTCTCTGTTAAGATCTGTTAGAATATCATGTGACCATTTACAGTGGGAGATAAAGTATTAATGCTATCATATAAAAAACAGTGTCCACAAACTATTGCTGTTTCTGTACGCATTAACTATTTAAAAAACACACATTGTATTTCTGGCTGCAGATTTGTGCCACATTGTGAATGCAGACAACATCCTGGAGAGCAGTCTCTTCATTTGTTAAGCTGTTGTTGGCATCCTACTACGCTGTGATTGAGCGGTTTCAGAGTTACGAGACCAGTGATTTGAATGTATTAATCTGATCTATATTCCGCTTCAGCCAGCCTGCTGCACATTACGTGAACGATTGCTTGTCTGTGAGCCCAAAGACCTGCCACTATTAAAATAAAGGCTCTACTGTACCTGGAAAACCGCCCTGTGGTCCTCCAGTACCTGCTCCTCCATCTCCACAAGTTGAGAGACGGCTTCATGGAAAGTGAAAAGCTGCGGGGAGACCTCTTCCTCCTACAGGAAAACACGATCATGTTGTTTGTACATCAGAGACACAGTGAGTGTGTTAAACCAGGCCTACATACACCTGAGTGAGTAAGAGCTTACGTTCTGTTCACAGAGCAGCTTCAGGTCGTCTCTCTGGGGAGAGCTCCCGACTCCCCACTGAGCCTCCAGCACCTCCAGCTGGTTGATGTGTCCTCCCTGACGGCTGTCGATCGCCGCTGCAGGGTCCACAGAGAGCTCCTTCACCCTGACAACACATCAGTGCTGCTAGTGAAATAACTGCTGCTGATGAGGTATCTGATGAGCAACACCTTGTAGCTAACTGTTGCATGCAATATGGTGAAAATGCTCAGCATGCCAGAGGAACAACAAACACTACAGACTGACCCCGTGCAGGTTTAGATGAAGTCAAGCCTGGAAAAAATTAAAGCAGGTCAACGTAAAAAATAATGGATGGTGGAGAAAACGGTTAACAAATGACCAATTAATAGCTACAAAAAAAGGCAGAAGTTATCCCTTCTACTAACTTATGGATTAAGTGCATGATCATGGGTGATACACACCCTTCCTCAGATTTACTGAATATATTTTACTAGCCTTCAGGTAAGCTGTCATCTGGAAAGATCCCCTCCAGACAAATAAAAATACTCTACTTGGAATAATAATTTGTCTGATGTGGCCTTTCTACAAACAACTGTTAAATTAACCTGTTATAAATACGTAAAATTACATCTAGTCCTTTATGAATAAGCGATTCTTGTTGCTGAACCGTTGGACACTAGATGTATCCTACTTCGCTGTAAAGTCCATTCTCAGATTAAAGGTGAGCACAGAGAAATTTTCCTCCTTTTGTAGCAGATAATTGTGAACACAGCCACATTAACGCCTGGTATTAACACGTGATCTGAATCTGGGTGATGACATGTGAGGTCTTTACATTTACATATGGTTTTAAAATGCGCTCTCGTTATCTAGATTCTGCCTACATTGTGGTCGGATATCAATATACAAACTTTATCTACTGGCTGACTACCTGACGGGTTTCAGGTCAAGGGAAGCAATTAAACAGCAGTCACTCATTTCTAAATCCCCTTTTTGTGAGGGAAGACTTGCTCGCTAACTTTACTGCTACAATTTGTATTTGTTGCCGGGCTTGCTTAAGCTAGCAGTAAGAGGTGGAGTTAGTTTTCTTAAGAATGTGGTCACATTTACACCTGGCTGAGATCTGATCCCAGTGCGAGTCAGACCGCCTCCAGATGTGATCTGGCTGATCCGATTGTGTCCAGATAACGTATGCAGATACTAATTGCATGTTAATACCGGGTGTGAATGGGTACGAGTCTGGACCGGAGGGCTCTGCAGCAGGTGATTAAAACTGCTCAGAAGATCATTGGTACCCATCTCCTGAGCTTCGGTGATATCGGTGAGAGCCCAAAGGATACTAAAGCCTGTTCACCCTGCTGCCTTCTGGGAAGACGTATAGAAGTTTCTGCTGCCGCACCACCAGACTGCAGAGCAGCTCCACCCCTAAACTATCCGTCTTTTAAACTCTAATTCATCCTCAGCCCTGCTCCAATGAATATAGTTTTTTTTTTTCTGTTTAGCATTTTATGATTGCTTTTGTATTTCTGCATCTGCTACGTAGCAGAAAGGAGATACAAATTTAATTTCACTTTACAACCTGTTGTAATGTGACAAATAAACCTACCTTCTATCATTCTACACAGTGAAGGTAAAACATCCAAGTGAGGTAGCAAGAACAACACGTTTGTCTGGAGGGGGACTTTCTTTTTTTGTTATTTTCAACAAATCCCAACAAAAGAACAAAACCAACAATGTGTTCATTCATCTCTTAATAGTTTCTCATTCCACCACCCTGTCTGTGGCACTGTAGACCCAAGCTGATGTGTACAAATTAAATAGTTTCACTGTTAAAAAAGGCTCAAAGATTTTAAAAACAAAATGCTGTTCACAGAGCTTTTTATCAAATGTTACTCATTCAGGAGGAAATAGAGCATTTGTTGGGGACTACTTTCAGCGGTGGATGAATCTGCGTGTGGGACTGAGTCAGAATAAACTACAGTGTGTTCATGGTGAGGAAGGAACATGTCACCCAGTGCAGCAGTGAGACTCACTGACGGGTTTTAATAGTTTCTGGACAACAATGGAGCTGTAAGGCTCAGAGGGAGAAGATATATCAGGCTTTGATACACAGACAATACTTCACCGTTCATCAATGGTTTTAGTCTTTTCATGGGATTTTTTTAAATGAGAAAATATAGAATATTAGCCGTGAACTGAAATATACTTTCCATGGCTCTAAGTGACTTGGGGTAACTTCTGACTGGACAGGAAGCAACAAAAAGTGGTTATTAGTGAGTAATGTGGATAATGTCATATGCTCGGTGACTTGCTGTGAGGGGAGCTGTGGAGAGAAGCGATGAGAGACGTAGTATAAAGTGATCGTACTCGTAAGTAGGGGAGAGCTCAGAGCGACTCCCTCCGCCTCCGCTCTGGGAGAAGGGAATGTCTGAGGGACTTATCCCAAACTCCTTTACTCTGGAAGTATGGTAGGAGAGAGAAAGAAAAACACATAACCACAGAAGAAGAAGAGACGGGAGAGGATCATGTTATGTTGTGCAACCATTCTCACATTAATGTAATTCAGTCAGCGTGAGCATGTGAGGAGAAGGAAGATAAACAGGGACACAAAGGTAACCAAGACTAACTTATTACTTATTTAAGATATAAAATAGTAACTGGTGCTATTCTAGAGAAACAACTGCACTAATCAACATTTTTTATATAAACAACAGGTCAAATGACTCTGTAATGTTGACGCCTGAAGTGACAAACCCACAGAGAATTATCATTAAACTCTGCACTTTCCCTCAGCTCCCGTCTTTTAGTCTGTTTTAGCTCGTTGTTACGGCTCACATCTTTTAGTTAACTTTCACTGCTCTCCTCAAACTCTTTTCCAGCATCTTCTGATAAAACCTCTGATAAAGCCACTGTACGCTACTTCTGCACAACACAGCAGACAGACATTACCTTTTATAAAGTGGCAATTAGGGACTTTCTGATATGAAGTTTAACTGGGAGGTTTTCAAATTGATGTGAGGTGATCAGCTGATTGTTTCTCTGAACTACCAAAACAAAACGACCACTCTTGGTCATATAGTGGTGTTACAGACTGATGTGTCTTTTCACTCGGAAACAACCAAGTCGTGTTGAATAGAAACACCAGCTGAGCTCTTTAACCAGAGAAACCATTTCTAATTACACACAGCCTCTGACGCTGGATAACTAAAATATTTAATTTAATGTAATTATATTGTGTCCTTTATTCTATTATATTATTATTCTTATTACAAGACATTAAAACACCTTTTGAAATTTTAAATTGTTAATTCTTGTGTCTTTTGTGTCCCAGTTCAGAACATCAGATTTACCTGTTGGCATATCGCAGCGTGTTTAAGGTGTTTTCACAAGATGCCATTCCAGGAGAGATGGTTGCAATCTGTGCAGGGAAACAAAAACCGAGTTAGATCCATATTTATCAAGAAATCTGTCATCGTATCATCGCATTTTTTCATCATGCGTCTGTCCACAGGAGGTCCAGTAATAACATAGCTCTGCTTTTATTTTACCATGCATGTCCTTGAGTTTTCTCCTATGAAGGAGTCCCTCAGCACTTGGGTTAACTTGCTGGCTCTAAAGGGAGTGTGAGGTTTGTTTCGGCCCAGAGCTCGAATGCACTCCTGCAGAAAGACGGGAACATCATCAGCGGCTGTGCAGAGTAACAATTTCTAAAAGCACAACACAGTATAATATTGGAAAAGGAATGGTCGACAACAGATGTGCTTAACTGTGTATTTATCAAGAACAATGTAAAAGTTTCTCTAGTTTGAGCTTCCGAAGTGCTTTTCTGTTTTATATCATATTCAATTAAATACCATCACAGGTGTGACTGATATAGATCATTCCACTGGTCCCGTATTTACGAATACAGGTTGACGATGGAAGTAAACAGGCCACCATAACTGTGGTGGCGTGTCACTTATAAACCTGCGCTATAACACTGTAATGTATAAAAAGGATTTTACCAGATTTTGCCATGAAATATGACCAAAAAATCCTGTTGAATGTTGAAAATATAGTCACTGAAATCCCCACTGAAATAAAATTGACTAAGTTTTCAACAAAATTTTGTCAATTTTGAACAATAAACTTCAACTTTGTAAAAAACTAAAAGTACAGATAAATAACTAAATAACTTAAATAACTTTAATTCATCTATATTAAATCCTCATGTTTGCATAAGTTATCAGAGAAACAATCTGAGCAAATGTTAGCAGCAAGCTCGGCACGCAGCCTCTCTGGGACGTCCTGTGTCTGCCGAACAGCATCAGAGAAACACTGATTCTTAACCTGCTTTACACAGTGTTTCTACCAGTTTTACTCTACTGGCATTTATTTTAGGGAGGAGGAGACTCCTGCAGATAATTCGGCTCAGGAGAAGCTGACTGCAGTGAAGGAAATGGTGATGAAGACAACAGCTCCCATAATCCCACGCTACTTCACAACGTAATCAAAGTCTTATGTTAATGTTTTGATGTGAGCAAACCCTAGCAGCAGAACATTACAATCTGTGCATGTAGTCTCATTTCATATCCAGAGTGTGGAGCAAGGATGGTCCATCATTTAAGTTTTTTTCCAAAACGTGTCATAACCAATTTGACACAAGTGTTTTAGGACTGAATAACCTCCACAACACAAACACTCTTCCTGACTGTACTGTGAATGTGTTCAGTGCGACTCTGCAAGCATCCACAGATCCAGGCAGCAGTTCCAAAACTGCTCAACCATTGCAGTAAGGTCACTGATGCACAGGATATCTTAATTACTGAGGAGGAGACCTTTAGTGCCAGCAGGCTCTTGTTGATCTCAGCTCCTTCGAGGCGAGTCTGACGGTCAGCGCTGGATGTGTCTGCCCCTCTCTCATTCCCCGCCAGGTCGATAAGGGAGAACTTTCCGTGCATCTTCCCCCGCCGACGCAGAATGATCTGGAACACAGCGTGGCTCCGAGAGGAGTGAGCGTTCGCCGAGGTCTGACCAGAAGTCCTGAAGGAGACGCGGGGACAGAGAGGGGGGAAAAAAAACAACATTCTTGAGGACCTGTCCAAAATTTTAATTCTCATCTACTCTACTTCTGCTGCTGTTTTACCTGCAGCTGTTTCCCACTTCGATGAGTTTGAGGACGTCCTCTGTGCATTTCACCTCCCTCTCCTGCAGCCCCACCACCTGGACCTGCTGCTTGCCGTCCTCCAGGACACGTAACTTGGCTTTGCGGTTTAGCAGGTCAAACACCTTTTTTTTTTTTTTTTTAATTGAAAAACAAATCGGTTCAGTCAGTGTTTCACCTGACATCTTTACAGCTTCACTGTGCCTAGCAGGGTGTCTGTAAGGTTTCTCTCCAAATATTCAGACGACCTCTAAACAGCAGTTTGAAATGCTGCAACAAATAACAAGCTGAAATGAACACACAGGGTTCTTAAACAAAGCCACCACAGAAAGATAAACTTGGACTAAAATTACTCTAACCACAGAGTAACCACAGAGTACGACAACAGAGGATTTTAGGAGGGGGGGGGTGAGGCAGTATTTATTTAAAAATTAATTATGATGAACTGTAGTTTTCTTTTCCAGTTTGCAATCGTAGACAAAGGAAAACTTTTGCGTATAGGCAAATCTAGGTAAATGCAAAAACTATGAATTTAAATGTATTTTAAATCTCAAATGTTCCATTTGCATAGTCTGCTTTGAAGTAAACGATGGCAGAGACTTGCATGGCCTAACAAGACTGATTCTATGCATGCTAACATGCTGTTGTTTAGCAGGTATAATGTTTACCATGGTCGCTATCTTAGTTTAGCAAGCTATAAAGGATAATTATGAAATAGTAAAATTATCCATGTCAGCCCAATCCAGTTGTTTTTCAGTGTGTACTGTTGTGCAGCGTTGGATATTTTGTGCAGCAATGTCAAGGTCCCTTTACAGATGGGAGGAAATCTTCTGTTAACATGTCTTAAATATTATAGCCCAGCAGTCGGCAAACATAAAATAAATTAATAAATAATATTATGACTTGCATGAATTCAGCTTGTTTTTTCCATGACTTCACACTCACAGTGGTGGAGATGAATGAATGAATCTGTGCTGGAGGAGTGATCAAAGATTCATTTATTACTGCTTAAGCTGTTGGTTGTGACGAAATTATCACAGTTGCAACGCTGGATTATCTGTCAGAAAGGACCTTGACAGCATGTGTCTAATTTGCATCCCAAACAAGGTCGCTCACAAAAATAGTTCAGTTTTTGAACAGTTAAGGACACCTCTGGAGCTCTCCTAAATATCAGCAGAGATAGGAGTCATTTCCTAAATTAAGTTGATAAAATGCTTTTTATCACAGGCACAGAATTTGATGGAACGCCTGCATCAAGGTTTCATCCTGTTCTTGAATAAATTAATTACTAATGATGTTGAAAGACACTTGCCTTCCCGCTGTAAATCTCAAAAAATGTGGCAAAGATTTGGAGATCCAGCTTCTTGTAGTTTGGCTTCTTTATCATGAGAAAGACATCTCTGGCTGCACAAGGCAATAAAGAGAGACTTGATTTCAGTCAAATGGAGTAAAATCAGCAGTGAAGATAGAGAGGTATGAGAGAAACTAACCAGACAGTGCATAGATCCCTTTAGAGCAGTCCTGGTTCTTTCCTGAAAAGTCCCCTCCCATCGTCTATCAAGGAGATATGAGTTACAACAGGAAAACGTGCCCTGCAAACCGAAACTCTTCTCAAGTTAAAATAAAGGCACTCACATGTGTTTTTCCACTTCCAGTTTGTCCGTACGCAAAGCAGGTCGCCATACCTCTCTCAAAAATGGTCTCAACCAGCGGCTGAGCAGTAAACCTGGGAGCAGAAGAGCACAAGTTAGCATGACCAAACCCTGGAAAATATTTAAATGCAAAGATAAATCATTAAAACTAAGTTAACTTAAGTAGACACTTTTTATTTCATGTCACTTTTCATGGTAGTGTTGTTGAAACTGCCCAGTTGATAAGAGGCATGGCTTTGGTGTGGAAGACCCGGGTTCAGCTCCCCACTGTGACCCACCAATGTGTCCCTGAGCAAGACACTTAACCCCTAGTTGCTCCAGAGGCGGGCGACCTCGGACATAAATAGCAATTGTAAGTCGCTTTTGATAAAACTGTCACCTAAATGAATAAATGTAAATGTATTAAGGATGTCACCTGCCTCATAAGCTAGCAAGCTCAACAACTTTTTAATTTTGACAGCTAATTTAATCTATGAACTGTCAACTGTCTGTAAATAAACACAGTACACAGAAACTACAATCTGTTATTTATTTAGCTTAACAGAGCTGCACATGCTACTTACTTTGCTAGCTGACTAGTTAGATGTGAACTTGATTTATCATTAGTATCAAAGTTAAAAAACAATGTTAACGGCATCAGCTAATGAGTTATTTCATTCAAATTCAATCAAATATTTGTCAGATAAAGACAAAGGTAACAATGCTAACACGGACTATTCACTTTGATGCTGGCCTAACTTGATCGGTAGCGTGAGCTTTACTTGTAAAGCTAAGCCTCCAGATGTTTGTTTACAGCAACAGCCTCTAGTTGGTTGACTCAAAACAACATTAGCATTGTTAGCTCCAGCTAACAGGAGCTAACTGGCTATAGCTGCTTGCAGTTATTGAGCTAACAAGTCTAAGAGATTTAAAAAACTAGTGTAAAATGTTGTTGCACAATTTATTCATTATATCTTATTTATTTATTTATTATTGAACATTTTGGGGTTCCACAAAAAAACACATTACCTATAAACCATTTCATTGGTGGAGTTCTCATCGAAGGCGTAGTCAAATCGGAAAGTTTGGTTCTCCAAGTAGCGGGTCAGGTCGACTTTCTGCTTGGGCTCATGGACCATCACCACGTCCTTACTGGGAATGGTGATCACATCCAAATCCTTCATTGACAACTCTGAAGAGACGTGGACATAATTTTTAATCAGTTTTTTTTTTTTGTTCATGATTTGTCAAATTTGTGCGAATGACTCAAGGTGAAAAATTTGCTTTGCTTTCTGTCTGATCACACTTAGTGAATAAAGCAACTCTTACCTTTTTTATTGAGGGGACGTGCACGAACACATACACATATCCTGTGCTCCTCGATCTGAAACATCAACAGATAAATTGTAATGTGCTGTATGTACTGTTTATTCCCTTGTATCAGACAATGGAAAGAGCCTCTGTTTAGACATTTAACACCTCAAGTTCACAACTTTTGCAATGTAGCCCCGACATAGTACATCCACTAAAGGGCTTGTTTTTTCCACCGGCAGACTCAGATTGTTATTATAAGTGTCTGACAACATTGTGGAGCAGATCACCATAGAGAGAGACCTCTATTTTGTAATAGTAAGCTCTTTTTTGTTTAACCAGAAACAGTCACTATATCGCTCTTGTCAAAGCAACCAGACTCCATAGATAAAAACAGTCATTTCACCTCGCAGAACACAGGAGTTGCAGGTCTACCGCTGCCTCGGTCGTTTAGTTTGTTTGTGTTATTGTGTGAATTTAATATTTTAAAGGGATATAAACACCACAGTCACACAAACTAACCGACCAGAGGTAAAATTACTGTTTTTGTCAATGGAGTCTGGTGGCTTTCATGAGAGTGAGATAGCGACTGTTTCTGGTCAAATAAAAAGGATCTTGCTCGTTAAAAAAAAAACAACAAAAGGTCTATCTCCCTTGGGGATCCTTTCCTTAATGTTGCCAGACACATATAATAACAATCTGAGCCTGTCAGTGGCCAAAACAAGCACTTCAGTGGACGTACTTCGACGGAGCTCAATTGCCTGTAAGGATTACGTTGCTGCAAACTCCATAAAGTCCAGGTTGAAAACTAATTTGTCTCCAGTGTCTCATATCTCTTACTCAGTAACTTGGAAACCTACATTAAATGTGGCACTTTATTAACTCTGTCACACAACTTTTGTGGAAGATTAAGTTACTTAACACTGAATCTGGAAACACAACTGTAAACCAGACTTACCAGATCATTACTGGTTAAAGGCCTGTAGTCCAGACTGGCTCTGAAGTCTCTGATCATACACATGATTTCATAGTTTGGTAAGTTGACATCCACCTCCTGAAATGGAATAGAAAAACAAAAGTATTAGGGCCGAAAGATTGCGAGTATTATTAGTATCGCGATATGATTTGCGATACAAGGGGGAATAATCAATTTTCATTATTTTTCACTGAAAAAAAACACATTAAAATTAATTATGGAGTTGGTTCTTCAGTCTCTAAAATATGAAGTGTAGGCTAGGACATCTCTGCAGCACAACAATATTCAAATTAAAAACGTATTTTGAAACACAGATCACCATTAACAAATATTGCACCTCTTGCGATTTGAAAATTGCAGATGGCTACATTGCGATTTCGATAAGTATTTGGCATTTTGTGTATTTTACAATCAACTCTGTAGGCAAATCAGAGAAAATTCATACCGGTATATTAAGTTATTAGTTTGGAAATATGAGATCGAGATGAGATGTGTTGTGATATGTACACTGTGATATGTATGTATGTCTATATTATCCTACAAGAGTTCTGATTGAGATCCGAATCCAGCCCGAGACCTGAAGCCATATTTTTGCTTTATTTGATACATTATAGATCATTAGCGCACCAGGCACTTTAAATCTCTTAAATCGCAAATAATTTGGAAGACAATCACGGTCCAACATGCAACTTACAAGAGTCATGTGGAAACTTGAAGCCTCCAGGTCACAAAACACTGAGAATGAACTTTACAGTAAAGTAGTAGATATTTGTGTTGGAGTAGTGTGAGTACAAAAACTGTGTACATGTGTACTGTATGTGTGTGTGTATATACTGTGTGTGTTTGCTAATCACTTGTGCCCTCTTCTCTCTGAGCTCCTGTTGCTGAAGTCGCCTCTTCTCTCGTTTCTCCTGCAGTTTCTCAACTTCCTTCACACAGTTGGATTTCTTCCGTGCTGGAAAGCAAAAAAATCTATATATAATCACAATTAACAACCAAAATGATGCAAGGATAAGGATTGTGTTCGTGACCCAAGACCATTCATTCCTACAGAACACATAAAACTTTAAAAAGAGGTCCCAAATATTTAATTTAATTTTTTAAAGGACTCAGTAATTTCCTTAAACAGCTGATAACTGTAGTTTTTAGCAAATAGTGCATATGTTGGGGATTATTTTCAGTGACCGATGAATCCCCACATGGTGCTCTAGTGAGTATTTGGGACCAGAGTTAGAGACTTCGAGTCGCACACACACAGATTTTAGACTTGACTTGAGACTCGTCCTCAAAAGACTTCAGACTTGACTTGAGACTCGTCCTCAAAAGACTTCAGACTTGACTTGAGACTCGTCCTCAAAAGACTTCAGACTTGACTCAGACTCGAATTGCTGGACTCGTGAACATCATTTATTTTTAGGAAATGTCTGATGAGCGTGCTGTTATTCACCTCCCTGCGTTACCTATAACCTGCCTACGTAACACGTAGTATCAGCTGCAAGCGGCGGCAAGTGAAAGAGAACAACAAACACCGGCAGCTGCTGAGCCGTTCATCATAAACTTTGGCTTTAAAACTTCATTCAACAAGGCCCGAACACAGAAGCTCTGAACACAAAATAGGTTAGTAACCCGTGGTTAGTGAACATGTTTAGCTCAGCATGAGCCATCTACAGTAGTTTATAAGCAGACATTAATTGCATTGCAAATTACATGGTGCTCTGTAAGTGGGGAAAAAATGGTTAAAGTTACAGAATTCCTTATAGCTAAGCAGCCTGGATGGAACATGCATTATAACAACGAGTGACTTGAGACTTGACTTGGACTCTGGCTCAGAGACTTGAGACTTACTCAGACTCTAGCTCAGAGACTTGAGACTTGACTTGGTCTTGAGCTTAAAGACTTGAGACTTAGACTTGAGCTCAGAGACTTGAGACTTGCACTCGAGCTTAAAGACTTGAGACTTGACTTGGACTCGAGTTTAGAGACTTGACTTGGACTCTAGCTTAAAGACTTGAGACTTGACTTGGACTCTAGCTTAAAGACTTGAGACTTGACTTGGACTCTGGCTCAAAGACTTGAGACTTGACTTGGACTTTGGCTCAAAGACTTGAGACTTGACTTGGACTTTGGCTCAAAGACTTGAGACTTGACTTGGACTCGAGCTTAAAGACTTAAGACTTGACTTGGACTCGAGTTTAGAGACTTGACTTGGACTCTGGCTCAAAGACTTGAGACTTGACTTGGACTCTGGCTCAAAGACTTGAGACTTGACTTGGACTCGAGCTTAAAGACTTGAGACTTGACTTGGACTGGAGTTTAGAGACTTGACTTGGACTCTGGCTCAAAGACTTGAGACTTGACTTGGACTTTGGCTCAAAGACTTGAGACTTGACTTGGACTCGAGCTTAAAGACTTGAGACTTGACTTGGACTCGAGCTTAAAGACTTGAGACTTGACTTGGACTCGAGTTTAGAGACTTGACTTGGACTCTGGCTCAAAGACTTGAGACTTGACTTGGACTTTGGCTCAAAGACTTGAGACTTGACTTGGACTCGAGCTTAAAGACTTGAGACTTGACTTGGACTCGAGTTTAGAGACTTGACTTGGACTCTGGCTCAAAGACTTGAGACTTGACTTGGACTCGAGTTTAGAGACTTGACTTGGACTCTGGCTCAAAGACTTGAGACTTGACTTGGACTTTGGTTCAAAGACTTGAGACTTGACTTGGACAGCATCTCTGTTTGGGACAGTCAAAATAAACTAGTGTATGTAGGTTCATGTAAATACATCGTCCAGTGAAAGTAACTTTAATTAAGTAGTGTACCTAAGTTGTACTTCAAAATGCCTCAAAATTGTACTTCCGGCCAGTACTTGAGTATTTCCATTTAATCCTATATACTATATCCTATATAAATATATTTTACTCCACTATGATGCACTACTTGTACATTTAATAGCTGATGTCACTAGTAACTTGGCAAATAAAAGGCTCTGCACACCTACTCAGATGTGAGTTGCGTGGAGCTATGGATGGCAAGTGAGCTTTAAGATTTTCATACAAATTATATCATACCTTTAAAAAATATGATGCATAACTATTGAATAAACCACAAAACAGTATAATATAAGTAATTAGCATGTGTTAGCATCTCAACATTAAAATGCGACTTACATTTAATGTATCAGAAGACTGTATTTTAACTACATACCACTGACACTCTGCATAATGAGTTCTTTTACTTTTGATACTTTAAATTTTTCTGGTTATACTTGCACATAATTTGTATGATGTCGTGTTAATACTGTTTTTTAAATAAGGCATCAAAATACTGTTTTTTCATGGTTTTTGGACAACATTGGAGACACAGAGGAATGAGATATCAGACTTTAGATGAACAGACACCGTAGGACACATTAATTGTTGTCTTTGGTCTTTTTAAAAGGTAAATGATCTCCTCACGCATCCTTGCAGCTTTCCAAATGCACATTTTATATTTCTACAGTAAGAAACATTTATGCTAATTCAAACAGCCACAGCTGAAAACTAAAACAAGTGCTGTAGTATGAGTCCAAGTCCAGACGCCAAGCCAGTGAGAAACAGTGAAAGAGCCTTTCACGCCCTCACACACACAGCTGTGTGGGAGCATGACATCACCGGTTGTGGCCTTTGCAACATACCCTCCACCAGAAAATAGCAACACACACACACTCGATCTTGGAAACTACCTCAAAGTACATCAGAAATTACAAAAACTGCAGCCTCTGACTTGAGACTGTGTGTTACCGTTCTGCTGCTGTAACAGGGACTGGTTGAGTGCAGACTGGGGAGCGATGGCTGGTGGAGGCGGCTCTGCAGCTTGGCTGTGCTGGCTGGGACGGGCCCGGGTGGTTCCCACTGCTGCAGCTGAGGAGAACACGGTCCAAGATAATCAACCATTTGTGCAAGTTAAAGGGTCACTTTAACAAAATTATGAAACAAACAAACTATTTTCCCCCTTAACTCCACTCGTATCTCTGCATGCAGATAGTTTGGGTTTAAAGCTGAAAGGAAATTTATTAGTAGATAGTTAATAGTTATTTTCTGTCTAACTATATAACTATTATGATTATTTATCAATTCTTTAATCCTCTGAGCAACAACTAGCTGGTTCCAGTTTCTGACATGAAAATATTTTTTGTTTTTCTTTGTCCTTCATGATAGTAAACTGAATATCTTTGGGTGGTGGACTGTTGGTCAAACAAACGAGACATTGTAAGACGTCCCCCTTTTGGCTCTGGGAAGTTGTGATGGCCAGAGTTTTTAGTAGTTGCTAACATTTTCCAAACCAAATGATTAATCATGAAGAATCCACATTAAATCTTTTAACCTTTGTTCTGTTCTGCCCAGTTTGGCTTATTGCAGCGAGCTACTGCTTTCTGCATTTGCTTCTATACAAGTGCATTTTAATGTGAAGGCAGTTGATAATGTTTTTTCCAAAAGTACATTTCCAGAACTTTGTTTTCAAACATTGCATGGATGAAGATAAATGTTGACTCTAACTCTACAGAGGAGCTGTGTGACATCAGTTTAGCAGGTCGGTTTTGGTTTGTGAGGAGAAAGAAGACAGGTGAATCTAGTAGATGAAGATCTGCAGGAAGCATTTAATTACACTGAACAGTGCTTTTTTTACCTCAGCTGTCCTGTGAACGCATAGACATCGGCTCATTCTGTTTGTACCGTCTGTATCTGTTCACTACACCAGTGATTGTAAAACAGGAACTGTGTGTGTGTGTGTGTGTGTGTGTGTTGGATGTAAAAGACAAGAGCCCGATAGCGTGTCTGCCCACTCAGGTCAAGATATGATAAAAACTCTCCCACACCTCCCTGGGGAGGAGTGCCTCAGTCTAAAAACTCGAATTGAGGCTAGTCGGAACTGATTATCGCCTAAAACATCCTGTAGTTTGAGGGGTTTACAGACATAAACTTAAGGTCACCGACTGGTTCGGCGGAGACATGATGAGAAATCCGGGACCGGGAAGCGTCGTCGACGTGTTGTGTATTTGATCGCGCTTTAAAATGTATAAACCTGCTGATTCCCTGTTTTCAGCCTCCAATTCATCCGCGGTTTGATTTTTTTTTTGCTGGAAAAGATAGCACACATAAGAGCAACTAGCTTCATGTTTGTTTATGTCTGAAACCACATTTGATCGCGTCAGATCCCAAGTCCCCAGAATCAGTACTCTGAAATTGTTTGTATGAACGAGTGTGTGGACCTGCAACTTTACTGAATCATCTAGTGTTTAGGTTAAAACTGGTTAAATATGTCAGTATGTCTGTGTTATCCCACGTTTTTAAAATCTGTTAAGTTTAAAAATCCTCTAGTGTGCACCAGGCATTACCTCTGTTCTCCCGTGGAGCGTTCTCAGCCTTCGGTATTGCTGTAGTCCGTCTTGTCTGAAAATAAAAATACAAAAAATAGAACCATAAAACATTTGAAAGCTAAAAGTAGACTCACACCCAGAGATTAAAGTCTGTATCTGTCACCTTCAGGGACAACTACATCAAACATTGTTTTGAGCAGTTTGGACAGATTTCATGAGCTGATCTCAACACAAGTCTAATTAAGTCAAATGTTTTATGCAGCATAAATGCATTTGTAAAACCAACAATGAGTAGGGTTGTGTGACGACAAACAAAGTTACCAAATTTCCAAGATACCAACACTTGATGCCAAACAATAGATCACTTCACAAATCTGACGTAGAAAATTCAAAACTATTATGACAAAATCTTTTTTCAGTCCCTTTTTCTTAACAAAATAAATATTTTAATAGAAAAATGAAGTGCTAATTTGTAAGTGATTCAAATGAATTAAACCAAATATTAATTTAACATTAATTATATTGTTATTGAGGAAAATTATATTGCGAATTATTATCATTATTGTTTTATTGCCCAGATCCTAACTGTAGTGCTGTAGTGAAGAAATCAGAGCTAAGATTTGATAAGAACCAGATTCAATAAGTAGAATCAGAATCAGAATGAATCAAATTGAAATGATACCCAACCCTATCAATTTTAAGTGCCTTAGCAGCTACATTTACACAAGGGACAATAAGGTGCGAGACGTATTTGAAAACCTGCTTCCTCACATATTAAAGCAATGTAAAAACAGCATGTTCGCTTCAAAACAGTATTAATAATCTGTATAATATATAATATATATATAGATATATATATATCTATATATATATGTATAATATTAATCTGTATAAGAAACTGGTGAGGAGCAGACCTTGGGGAGTTTGCTGGTTTTAGCAACATTGGAGGGAGGAAGAGGAGTTTCAGGACTCTGTGGTATCTCCTCGTCAGGAGCAACATCTGGATTCAGAGCAAAGACGCTCTCCAGATCAATCTGAGGCAGAAACAAGACAGAGATTATTATTATTATTATTATTATAACCTTCATTTAATCAGGTAATCTCATTAAGATCAAGAAGTCAAAGTGAAACTGGACCTTCCGGGTTCTGCTCCAGAAGAAAGAGTTTTACTCGACAGTATGTTGCGTGGCTCCCCTCATATGTTTAAATAACACAGTAGCTTTAAAAACAAAACAATCTAACACCAAACACCACTTCCCATAAGCCCTACACATATTCTTTTACTTTATCATGTGAACTTCTGCACATTTCTTGTTCAGCATTTACAAACTACTTTTCCATGTGTTTATACAGTATTTTCTTCAGATGAAGGCTGTGCAGGAATTAACTTCTGCAGATACATCAAAAATACAACGGATCCAATACTGAATCAAATAGCTGTATCGCGATAAGGAGGCCGGTCTATTAAATTAAATGACACGTGTACTATGTGATACGTACATTTTGCTAGGAGAACTAATAGCATTTTGTTTTACAAAGTTAGGAAACAATGTGTAAGTCAAACATGATGTTGCCTCACACATAAAATAATGATTCCCAGTCTCTTCCTCGCGGTGAGGAAAACAGTTCTTAATTTTACACTAGTATCGGATCAGTACTCGGCATCGGCTGATACCAAAAGCCCAAGTATTGGAATCAGGCCTGGAAAAGCAGGATCAGTACATCCTTAGTACTGACGTGTTTGAATGTAAGTTAAATCGTCTGTATAACCTTTCTAGTCTTTCCGACCACTCAAAGCGCTTTACTCTACGTCACATTCACACACATTAAGGAGGCTAAGGTGCCAACTGCACACCAGCCATCACTTTGACGTTCAGACTGGGGGAGCCGGGGATCAAACCACCGACCTTCTGATAAGTGAACTTTAATTTACTTAATTTTCCAACATGCTGAACAGACAGAAGGACGTTCATCCCAGGATTTATCCAGCAAAGACATAATAACAGAAAGTTAGTGGCAGCTGTACCTCTTTCCCTTTGGTGTCTCCGTTCTCGATCCACTCCACTGTCACACTATCATTGTCCTCGTGCAGGGACGTGACCATCGCCTGGTGTATTCGTCCTGCAGAGAGAGGACGTAAAGAGATGCTGGGAGTCGATATAGGATATATATATGCTGCTGCTTTGGCTTTAAATCAGAGGCAGACATTAACACATGTAATGAGCCATGAATATATCTGATACTGAGATTATAATTTTCATTTCACACAGGGGAAAAGATTTATCAGTGCCCAACACTTTGGATTCCTGCACAGTTTAAAATAAGGATACTGAGATGCTAATGGGTGTGGCTCATGATGACACTTTCCCCTTGTCATTCATTATGTCACACACAACTTCAGCTGGCTGTTTATTGGCTTCTTGGCAGCCTGTATGACTTTTAAACCCCACCATATGTGTGTAAGGGCACGAATGAGATTTAAACCAGGCTATTTCTGTGGCAGTGGTTGAGATGGGATGCAGCTGAGAGAGGGGAGAGGCCCCATGCATGCAGCCATGCATCAGCCCGGGATGCACAGGCCACTGCTGGATGATGCAGTGCAGTTAGCAGCACTGGAGGGGTTTCGGCCATGATGCAGGGGGGAGGACGGAGCGGGCAGAGCAAGGCAGGGCAGGTGTCTTTCTTTATGGCCGGCCAGCAGCCGCACAGGTGGACGGACCCGCCCGCCTGCCCAGCCGCTCCCCCGGGCTGTCCGGTCGGTGTCTGCCTGACAGTCTTATGCAGCAGAAAACAACATCTCTCTTTCTCTTCACGGCTCTAACGCTTCACTCGCCGGGTTTTTAACACGACATCCCGGTGAAAAAGAAGATGTAACTAGCTAGCATAAACACCCCTCTGCGGTGAGCGGTATCGTTGGCTGCTCTCATCCGGACCCGCCGGCAGGAGGGCGGTGTGTATAAGTGTGTGTTTGTGTGCGGCAACGTACCGTCGCTCCGTTTTATCTCCACATAAATACCCACGAAGATCTTCCCGAAAATACCGGCCATCTCCCCTCCCTGTCGTGTTCTTCTTTTTTGTGTGTGCTTGTGATGCCGAGCCGGTCCAAGTTGTGCGCTGCTGCAGAAACGGAGGTCACTGTCGGTCAGCCATCACAGAGGAGAGGAGAGGGAGACGGTGCGCATGCGCGGGCGGCGTCGCTCAGACCACTTGGAGCCCTGAAGAAGAAGCGTGTTGTGTTGAAATATCTGCACCTGCTAACGTCGGTGGAGGAAGGTTTGCTGTACATTGACTTGTTTGAATTCAAACCACTCTGTGATGCGTATTTATTTTCCCCATATTTGTACATGATGTTGTATTCTTAACACCACTGTGTGTGATACTAATTTGTATTTGACTTAAAGCACTTTACCTGTATTAGAAAACTGCTGTTCAAATAAAGCTTTATTATTATTATTATTATTATTATTATTATTATTATTATTATTATTATTATTATTATTATTATAGTGAAGTGTAATGCATTCACTTGAGAGAAAACAAATCTACTCTGTTTTCCTTAATTAATGAGGTAATTATCTCAGAATTGTGAGTGAAAATTTCATGTGGGGGGGGGGGGGGGGGGGGAGATTTGGATCTTTTTTTTCCTGAATTAACTAGAAATCTCAAAATCCCAAGAGAAGCTCTCCTATTGCTCGATTTCATGGAAGCAAACATGTTCCACTTGTGTAGCTCAATCAAGTTTTATTTTGGTCACTGGGAGATACTCTTGTCTTTAAGTTATATTCTATGGTATTGTTATTATAAATATATAATATAATCCTTATTTGTAGAGCACTTTTCAAAAACAAGTTACAAAGTGCTTTAACAAGTGTAAAGAATAATACAAAAAAACCCAACAAGATAAGATTGTTATTAGATTATTAGTTTATTGACCAACTTGAAATCATTGTACAATATTAAAATCATAGCATACACACATAACATAGGCCCAGCACTGTTGTTGTAGGAGGGTCATGCTGATTAGCATCACCTGCTTGGAGTAGGCTCTTTTCTCAACTGAATACATTCGCTCTGATTGAAATGTATCTGTTTCTTAGGCAACATGTGATTAATGTTTTTCCTTTCTATGCTAATACAGCTAGCTAAACACTGGCTGGGGTGGGGTGGGTTGTTACACTTCTTTAAAAAGTGTTACAACCATCCTCTATACATACAACTAAGGACTTTCTTGATTTTAATATTTTACAGAGTGCCCTTTGCAGTCTGGGCTCACCAACCCTGCCCTCCAGGGTTTCCAGCATTCATTTCTCAGCACTGTGACCAGTACTCCCCATTTACATGTTGTTCACATGTTGCCTTGTGTATCAGAACTAGATCTTTTCCATGCTCCGTCTCCGCTGGTGGAGAGGGCAGAGAAGCATACGGGCAGCTTGTGAGAAGAAAAAGTCTCAGTTCACCAAAGAGTAAAATATAGAAGTGCTTGTAGTGCGTACCGGTGAGTACCGGCCCACTTCAAGCACTGACTGTGACTCTGATTAAAAATATACACACTTTAACACACACAGACACACACACCTCTTATTTGTTAGACCTAAGGATGTACAGAGATGTTCTTTAATTAGGTGCTTTTTAGTAGTATTTATCAAGTATACTGTGAAGTAAGTTTATTCTATCGACAAAGTTACATAGACATACGTGTGTGTGAGTCATCAGACATAATCTGTTACAGTGAGAGAGAAACATTGTTCTTTTATTTCTCTATACCTGTTTTTGAAGCATATCATTGGCCACTTTTGTCTTATTGTTACAACTTACCCCAGCATGTGTTACAGCCTGTACCCTGGTAATGGGGTAGGTTGTCACAAAGGAAAACCATGGATTTGACATCAACTCACGAGGTCTGTGATATTCTTGTAGAGGATTAAATTGGTGCCATTTGTAGTGAACAAATGTGGGTACTTTGTATAAAAGTGTAGATATATATATATAGATTAATCTATAATGAAAATGCTCCACCAATCCTGATTTAACATTAATGCACAAGTAAAATAATTTAATTAAAAGTAAGTTCAATGCAGAACTTTACAGTTTTACTTTTACTTAAGTAAATTATTTAAATACTTCCTTCACATCTGCTTAAATGCTCATGTAAAAACATTAGTATTAGTTAATCACATAAAGATCCACTATAAGATCCATCCTTGATACTGTAGTTTTTCACATATAAACCAGCAAATAAGGATATTTTTGAAGCTAATGAGATTATGTGTAGCCTTTAGTATATGAATGTACTATCATCAAACTCCTTTGAGGTATGAAGTACACAGTGCAGCCTTTTACAGTAGATGGGTTTAACCACCATAGTGTTTTAATATTCAATTCACATTTTATGTCACAAGTTGAGAGAACACAGAAGGGCAGCTGCTACATCCAGTCACAAACGTCTGCTCGTACAATTGAAACAAATAAAAGACAAAAGCAGCATAAAAGACCAGTCAAAAGTACACTATATATACACTCACCTAAAGGATTATTAGGAACACCTGTTCAATTTCTCATTAATGCAAAT